AAGAACTGTCAGATAGTGAGGTTTTTTTGGTTTGTGTTTAAGGAACTATTAATGGTAGTTAATGGTAGCAGCCCTGTCAACCAAGAGATGCCAGGTGGGCACATATCTAATTTGTCATATATTTTGGAATTTTCAACTAAGCAAAATAAAATAAAATAAAATAAAATCATCAAATAATCAAATCATCAAATAATAATATTTAGTTTGCATTGTGGTTTTATAAAACATTTCATGACTATTTTTGAAACTGAGGTATGAGTGTTGTGCAGCAGATTAAGCTGTTGCTTGTGATGTCTGCATCCCATGTCGGAGCGCTGATTTGAATCCTGGCTTCTTGGCTTCTGGTCCAGCTTCCTGATAACTCATTCCGAGAGGCAGAGAATGATGATCCCAGTACTTGAGACGCTGTGACTCATATAGGTGATCCAGGTGGAGTTCTTAGCTCCTGGCCCAGCCAGCCCTGGCTGTTGCAGGCATTTGAAAATTGAACTAGCAGATGCAAAATTCTCTCTCTCCCTGCTTTTCTAATAGGTGGAAATAAATATACAGTTGAAATAAGAAACTGACATTATTGGACTCAGAATTCTTTCCTGGAATGTGGCAATAAAGGGGAATTTGAGCAGGAATTTCAGGTTCCTAGATACCCAAACTAAGATCTAGAAGAGGAGTTTCAGACTCGAGAAAGACACACTCTCTTCATTCTCTGACCCCTAAATGTTATGAAAAAGGTCTGCCAGAAAGGACAGAGGTCTGCTCAAAAAAAGGCAAAAGCAAGGAGTCCCCTGACCACACTGAGAAAGATCTGCAGGTCTGCATCCTGGCTGAATATTAGCCTGGATTGTAATGGCAGCGTTTTATAGGACTAACAGCGAAGTGATCAAAACAGTATCGATATCTGTATCTCCCCTTTCCTACTCTGTTCTTAAAATGCAAGAAAATGTTGGAAGATCTGGGAGAGCAATCTTCTCTCTTTTTTCCCAGTTAGTCTAGCTAATTCTTAGTCAATTTTGTTATTCTTTTCAAATAGGATCTCTTTATTTCAGTGATTCTTTTAGATTCTGTGTCATTTTGTGTTCTGAGTTTTATTCTTTCCTATTAATTTTGAATTTCATTTATTTTTGTTTCTCTAGTTCCTTGAGGTGCACTGACGTGTCACTTATTTGAGATCATTCTACTTTTTTGTGGGTTTCTTTTATGTAAGCATTTATTGCTATAAACTTCCCTCTTTGTCCTGCATTTGGTGTATTATTTAAGTTTGTTACGTTGTATCTTTATTTTAATTCATTTCAAAAATTCAAAATCTTTCTTCCAAATTCCCCCTTGCCACTTTGACTGTTCAGAAGAAAGTTGTTTAATTTACATGCATTCTGCAGTTTTCAAAGATTTTCTTGTTACATATTTCTAGACTTCTCACAATGTAATCACAAAGATATTTAATTGAGACTTTTTTGTGATGTACCATATGATATACCCTGAATTATGTTCTGAGTCCTTGTGAGAAGAATATACTCTGCTCGTTTTAGACAGATGTCTGCTAAAGGCTGTTAAAGGCAACTTTTCTTCATTGTAATTCAACAGCTTTCTTGATGATTTTTTTTTCATTTATTTTTAAAGATTTATTTATTTGAAAGTCAGAGTTACACAGAGAGAGAAGGAGAAACAGAGAAAGAGAAAGAGAGGTCTTCTATCCACTGGTTCACTCCCCAATTGGCTGCAACAGCGCTGATCCAAAGCCAGGAGCCAGGAGCCGGGAGCTTCCTCTGGGTTTCCACACAGGTGCAGGGGCCAGAGGACTTCGGCCATCTTCTACTACTTTCCCAGGCCATAGCAGAGAGCTGGATCGGAAGTGGAACGGCTTTCGATGGGATGCAGGCACTGCAGGCAGCGGCTTTACCTGCTATGCCACAGCGCCAGCCCCTCTTGTTGATTTTTCTATCTGGATGACTCATCTATTTCTGAAGGGAGAGTGTTAAAAGCCCTCTACTATTAGTGTATTGAAGTCTATCTCTCCCTTTTGATTAACTGACATCTACTTTATGTATTTCGGTACTCTGATATTGGGTGCCTATTTATTTACAATTATTATTTCTCTTTTTAAAAATTTATTTGACAGGCAGAGTTATAGACAGTGAGAGAGAGAGACAGAGAGAAAGGTCTTCCTTCTGTTGGTTCACTCCCCAAATAGCCGCCACGGCCGGCACTGAGCCAATCCGAAGCCAGGAGCCAGGAGCTTCTTCCTGGTCACCAATGCGGATGCAGGAGCCCAAGCACTGCCCTCCCAGGCCACAACAGAGAGTTGGACTGGAAGAGGAGCAACTGGGACTAGAAACCGGCGCCCATATGGGATGTCGGCGCCACAGGTGTAGTATTAACCTAGTGCGCCACGGCGCCGGCCCCTACAATTATTATTTCTTCTTAGTGGATTGAATCCTTTATTATATGAATTTCCTTGTTCATTTTAAACTACTGTTAATTTCAAATATATTTTATATTATGCATATATAGGTATTCCTGTTTTATTTGGGGTTCCCTTTGCATGGAGAGTCTTATTCCTCCTGTCACTTTCAGTCCATGTGTGTCATTAGAGATGAAGTATCTTGTAAGCAGCGTATTATTAGGTCTTATTTTTCTTTCTTTCTGATTCATTCAGCCACTGTATGTCATTTATTTGGACAATTTAACACATTTATATTTAAAACAATTATTGCAGGTGAGATCATATTGCTGCCAATTTGAAAGTTATTTTCTAGTTTTATTATAGTTCCATTCATTCTTTCTCCAACTCATATCATCTTCCTTTGTTGCTAAGTAATTATATCTAATAGTATGTTTTGATTTCTTGCTTAGTATTTTTGGTAAGTCTGCTGTAGCTTTTTGCTTTGTGACTTCAATGAGGTTAACAAAAACTTCTTTCTGTTGTTTGAGCTATTTTGAAGCGATAGCAATTTGACATTTATTATAGAGATAAGAAAGAAATAATACAAAATACCAACAAATTCTTCACTTGTACTCCATTTCTTTCCATATATTTAATTTTTGACATCCCATTTTACATCTTTCTATATTCTCTCTCTTAACATTTTTTGTAGTTATTATTATTTGTAATTTTACTTTTTTAGTTTTTACACTGAAGATACAAGTGTTTTGTGACCATGTTCACAGTACAAGAACATTCTGATTTTTATAGCCATGCTTAACAGCGAGTTTCTACCCTTTGATATTTTCTGTTACTCATTAGTGCTTCTTTATTTCAGCTTGAAGATTTTGCTCTAGCTTTTGTTTTTATTAATATAAACAGCACAGATTTCATATAGTTCATAGGTACAGTTTTAAAAGACTAGCTGACAAACCATCTCAGGTTTCGTGTGGCTGGAAATGTCATTATCTTTCCCTCATGTGTTAAGGATAGCTTTGTTGGTTACAGTATCCTTGGCTGGCACTTGTTTTCCTTCAATACTCTGAAAGTCACATCCTTGCCTCCTGCCCTTAAGGTTTATGCTGAGAATTCTGCAATCATCTGTTTAAGGTTGATCGAGGGGTGATAATTTGGGACTATCTGGGGTTACACCTGTAACTAGGCCTCATAATGTCTTGGGGTACACACAGGGTCCACTTGGAGCTGGTGATGATACACACTGAGATGAGTGCATCCCACTGGAGTACAGGTCTCATGCGTGATGCCAAGGTAAGTATAGAGGTACTGTGCAGGGGCACAGGCTGGGAGTAGAGGCCTCTGGGCTTGACCAGGTGTTTATTCTCACACTGGGGTCCCAGCTCTGAGCTCCAAGTCAAGGTCCAAAACTCTCTCTGGCACCATTTCTTAGTGTCTGTAATTTTATTCCCTGTTATGTCAGGGATTGTGGGAATTGTGTTTAAGGCAGTCATTTGGCCAGCTGGTGATGAAGTGTCCCAGTACTCAGCCTGCAAATATGGGTATGGGAGCACTGGTACTTGGATCTCCATCCAACTCTGATTTTTCTCAATGGGCCTGGCTCTGAAATTCAAGTCTTAAAACTAGACTTAATTCCTTCTCTGTTTCCCAAGCAGGTAACATCTCTCACCACAAGCACTGATTAGAACTGGGGATGGGCGATATGAGCAGCTTTCTTTCCTGCTTTCTTCAGTGTGACTTTTCTGATTATTATGCTAAAATCAGGCCCTGTGGTTTCTCACGTGGCTTCCAGGGCTTGTGAAGGTGACTATTTGCATGAATTGGTCTCTATGGGGAGATGATCACTGAAGCATCTTGCTGAACTGCCAACTTACTCCAATTTCAGTGGAAATTTCTGAGGACATCAATGTATTACAAAATTATAATGTAGCTGGAATTCGTTGTTACAACCATATGCTGCACCATCAACTTGAAATATTCTACAAAAACTTTTTGAATCAAAAACAAATGTCACTAATTCCTTTCCTTACAAATTTTGGCCTTCCTATAGAAAATAAAATTGTCATCTCCTTGAAGGAAGCTATTATTTTGCTATGTCTCAAATGAAAAAATGAGAGTGCACATTGAAATTTACAAATAAAGTATGTTTTATTGCCATGGGTACTTCCAAAAGTTTGTGGAAAATAAAATTTAAAACTCAGCTTATTTTGGTGCAAAATGTTTTGAAATAATATGGATTCATTATCCTGGTGTAAGGATTGTAATTCTGAGGGAGGGAAAGGAGGGTGAGAAAAGAGAAAGAGATCAAGCGGGTAAGGGAGGAAGAGGCAAAGTGAGGTGAATAATAAGGACAGAAAGGCAAGAAATGAAATGCAGGTGAGCTATGGCCTCACCAGTCACTCCATTTTGTCCCTGGATGTCCTCCAACCAGTGGCACAACTGCAATCTACTCAAAAACTAATCTTGTAAGAATGCTATCTGTAAGGTTTGTTAAGTGCTAGGAAACCCCTAAGATAAGCTAACCTTGCTTGCTCTTAGCTTCTGTAATCAATGCTTGGTTTTGTAATTAACTTCCAAGAAGATGTGGTTTTTGCCTTTATAAGCTTACCCCAAGCTCAGTCAGGGCTGCATGATTTGGAAAGCACGTGCCCCTGTGCAGCCAGTGGCTTTCAGAAATAGACTCCATAATTCGGCCCTGAGACTTCGGTGTCTTCTGTAACTCGGTGTTCTGAATAATATTCAGAAGCAGAGACAAATAAAAGAATAAGGAATGACTCAGTTTGAGTGTGGTCAGATTAAACTAATATTGGCAGCAAACTTATTCTTTTAACAAATCTAAACTGAAGTGTTTGTTTTAATAAAAGCTTCTTCCTTCACATAGTAAACAATCTATTATCAAGTGTTGGTGACTTGGGGCTATGACTCTAAAAACGATCAAGCTTAAAGTCAGACTAGCTAATCAATACTTGGTTCAAAATTTTCATAAATGAACCAAGTTATCACTTGATTTATATGAGTTGAATTGAAATTTTACAGTCTATGCTTCTTACCACGATTTCCCAACTACACTCAAAAGATATCACCAACCTGTACTAAGGGGAAAAAATTACTGTGGTAACTCGGTGTTTTCTCATGTGGCCTGGGATTTGTTGACCTTTATTTTTGCATTATTTCTTTGAGATGAGTTCCACATTTGAAGAAAATGTTTCTTGTATTTTGGCATTTTCTTTCTAAGTCACTCTGAGCACTCAAGTCCACTTAGCCTCCAAAATAAAATTTTAGAAATGTAGTGTAAAGATGCCTCATTTAAAATTTTCTAAGAGTAGGTGTCCATGCTTAAGGAGTGTGTCTTGTATCTCAGTTATAGCTTTTCTAATACTTATCATCTTTCTTAATTAGTTTAGTTTTTGTAAGAAAAGCAAAAACTTAAATATTCTTTCTGCTTTTTGGTAAATATCATATCATAGTCTAAAAGTTCAAAAATGACTTTGACAGCATAGGCAAAACTCAAAGGCTGGTAGCAAAGTAATAATAAATGCACCAACAGAAAGAAGTAAGATAAATCTACGAATATGCAAAAGCATTTTGATAGTTGAAGTGAGTTCAGATGGGTATTATTCAGCAAAGCAAAGAAAATATACAATATGTAGACCAAAGATGGAAAACAGTGATATCTTCAAGAGTTCATTAGATTTAAGTGAGGGTTGGATGAAAAGTGAGTAAAGCCACGGCCTTTCACACCAACATCCCACATAGGCACCAATTTGAGTTCTAAGTGCTCCACTTCCCTTCCAGCTCCCTGTTAATGCACCTGGGAAAGCAGAAGAAAATGGTCCAAATGCTTAATCCCTGCACTCATATAGGATACCCAGATGAAACTCCTGGCTCCTGGCTTCAGCCTGGCCGGATCTTGGGAGTGAGTCAGTGGATGGAAGATAGCTGTCTCTGTGTCTCTCCCTCTCTCTCTGTAATTCTGCCTTTCAAAGAAGTAAATCATAGAAAATAAAAGAAAAATAGATTCTTCTTATATTCAGAAAACTCCAAATCAAAATCTCTAAGCATAAAATTTGGGGAATAGAACTTTCTCAGGTGATTTTGCATAAAATCAGAAAAACTGAGCACCTAAACTATAGCGGAAATTTTTATAAAAATACTCTAAGGCAATATATTATTTCTGAATTAGGAAGAAAGAATGGCCAAAAGACATGATTTAGTTTGGTTGTCTTGTGCCATCATTGAACCATATGCTCTTTTAAAAAATTTATTTATTTGAAAGACAGAGTTACTAAGAGAGGAAAAGAGAAGAGAGTCAGAAAGAGAGAGAGAGAGAGAGAGAGAATCATTCCTTTGCTAATATATTCCACAAATGGCTGCAATAGACTGGTTTGGTGGTGGACCCAGCTATTTTGGCCATCTTTCACTGCTTTCTTAGGTGAATTAACAGGGAGCTTGATTGGAAATGGAGCAGCCTGGGTGGAAACCAGCAATCATGGGATGCCAGCATTGCAAGCAACACTTGAACCTTCTATGCCACAACGCTGGTTGTAAACCAGAAGATTTTTATACTCATGTGTTCCCATATAAACCAACAACGTTCAATTGTGTATGTTAGCAATTCAGTATTAAAGATGAAGATTTTGAAGATTAAACTTCTTTTAAAGATTTATTTTTATGTTTAATAAAGGCAGAGTGACGAAGAGAAAGTTGAAGAGACCGACAGAGAGAAAGAGATCTTCCATCTATTGGTTCTTTTCCCAAATGGCTGTAAATGCCAAGGTTGATCCAAGCTCAAGCCAGGAGCCTGGAATTCCATCTGAGTCTCCCATGTGGGTGGCAGGGGCACAAACACTTGGGCCATCATCTGCTACTTCCCCAGGTACATTAGCAGGGAGCTGGATTAGAAGTAGAGCAGCCATAACTAGAACTGGTGCCCTTATAAGGGATGCAGGAGAAAGCTTAAACATCTTTGCCACAACACTGGTCCCAGAGATTAAATTTCTTGATATAAATCTCTACTAGAAGAAAGTCCAGAACTTGAATACCGTCTCTGATTTATCTCACTCTAACAATCAACTCTACCACAGTAAGATTTTATTCACTAAGATTTTAGCAGCTGCTGTTTCAGTGAGTTTTTATCATGTCCAGGTAGTTCTTGAAAGTAAAGTGTCTTTGGCAATTCTAAGCAGCTTAGTCACCAGATGATATAAAAATCTTGATTCATTTTTTATAAGTCCTTTAGGTAAAAGTATCATTTCTTAATTAAAGAGACTTTATACTAATACCCCCAGAAGGATAGATCCAGGCTGCATGCCAGCCAGCAACATTATTACTGTCCTTCTAATTCAATGAAATCTTGCATTCAGAAAACTTTTTTATATTCAACTGTCCTTCTATATTCTTCAATAAAATTTTTGATTGTGGATTGTAATTTGATGACTTATTTTGAAGGAAATAACAGATATCCATTTAAATGATACCAATTAAATGAAAGACTAATAATCCTGACTTTATTGAAAAGCATAACATGTTTGTACTTTTCAATCCAGTTGGCAGTTCAAAAGATGTTAGACATTTTGGCTATGTGTGTGTATCACTAACTCTGGGAAACCAGGGAGAACTGACTATTACTAGACGGGGAGCCAACATTTGGGTGGAGTTCCTTCCTGGCAATTATTGCTACTGTAACAATCTGAACTTCACAGAAAATTGGGAGACATTTTGAAAGTGTAAGTACTATCATCCTGCAATATTAGGTATTTACCATGCAGTACCTACTTCTATAGTTGTATTTTACAAACTTTTTTTTTTTTGAATTATTTGTTTTACAGGTCAAGAGGCAGGGATGGAGAGAGTGAGAGAAAACAAGAGCTAGGACTCCCAATCTGCTGATTCACTCTTTAAATGCCCACACTGAGCCAAGCCTAAGACAGAAGCTGAGAACTCAGGTCTCCCAGGTGAGTGGCAGAGATCCAATCATTTGAGCCATCACCACTGCCTCCTAGGATTTGTACAAGCAGGACATTGGAATCAGTGGCCACAGCCACATATTGAACCCAGGTACTCTCCTATGACACGTGAACACTATAAGAACTAAGGTAAAGTACCACACTTGTGCAGTTCTCTGTTGTAGTTTGGAGAGCCAGGTTTAAAGGCAAGCCTTGAGCTCTTTTATGTAGCTGTACATGACTGATTCTTCCTAGCTGGGGCAGCGGGGCTATGGACCTTATAAATCCAGGCCCTTCAGACTTGAATCACTCATGATTTAGTGCCATCTTCCTATATCTAAGTCTCCAGTGATTAACATGAGTTCAACTTTTTTTTTTTTTTTTTTTTTTTTGACAGGCAGAGCTAGACAGAGAGAGAGAGAAAGGTTTCCTTTTTCCGTTGGTTCACCCCCCAAGTGGCTGCTACGGCCAGCGCATTGTGCCGATCCGAAGCCAGTAGCTTCAGATCTGCTTCCTCCTGGTCTCCCATGAGTTCAACTTTTAAAATTTCTATTTTCCTTGTGTATTACCAACAGAGAAATAGTGGCAGCTTGAAAGTATTTGGGCTTCTGTGAAGGTGAGGAAGTCATATTTTAGACATTCATTCCCTAAAGTTTTCTTTTAAGTCTGGTATTTCCTTTCTCCCTCTTTTTTTTCTCTTTCTCTTCCTTTCCCCGCTCCTTCCCTTCCTTCCTCCCTCTCTCCCTCCCTCCCTCCCTAATCTCTCTCTCTCTTAATATTCTGGGTGATATCCTATGCATGTAACTTGCTTCTGCTTGTTTGCATTTTGGGTTAATGACCATTTCTTTGTCTCTATAATCTAAGAGAATATTTGCTGACACACCTAGAAATTCTGATGTCTTGAATGCCAATTTGCTTAAACTTGTGACAGAGTAAGATAGTTCTCTTTCCCTTGAGTAAAAACAACTCACTGTGGTTTCCTGACTCATGGATGTATTTTCTCATAAACATGATAGAGAACTGTTATTATATATTAAGAATAAGAAATGGGGATGCTTACTTGACGGGAAGTCATTCTTGATTACAAAGTTAACCACCAGCTTTGATCACTGTGGCTAAGAAAGCAATCAGAAGTGTGGGCAAATGTCTCTATGAGAGCATACCCACTGCAGTAATATTTATAAATATTTTCAACAGGGGATGGCACGGTGGCATAGAAGGTAAAGCCTTGGCTTGCGGTGCTGGTGTTCTTTATCGGCACAAGTTTGAGTCCAGTTGCTCTACTTCCAACCCAGCTCCCTGCTAATGCACCTGGGAAAGCAGTGGAAGATGGCCCAAGTACACGGGCCCCGGCACCCATGTGGGAGATCCAGAAAAAGCTCCTGGATCCTGGCTTCAGCCTGACAGAGCTCAGGCCTTGGGACCATTTGTGGAGTGAACCAGCAGGTGGAAAGTCTCTCTCTCCCTCTCTTTATCTCCCCCAACCCCAACTTCTCTCTCTGTATTTCTGCCTTTCAAATAAATACACCTTTAAAAAAATTTCAGTGATAAATAAATCAAAATCAATATGTAACAGAAGTAATTTTAAGTAAATCATGAGGTATCAATGATAACATATTTTTCATTCTTTAAAATCAGTGTGAAAGCTACTTTTTTAAAGACTGTTTTTAATGTTGTTGTAAAATACTAAATGATCGATGAAACCAAAAAGTAAATAATATCTGCAAATAAATTCATAAAG